CACCAAAAAGGAAAAAAAACCGTTCCGGGAAAGGGGAAAATAACACCGGAGCTTGGAAAACCCCCCGAGCCGTAAACTTGAGCCGCCTACGGAGTCCAGGAGGAGACGAAAAGGATTATAAGCGCAATGTGGCTGAGGATAAAAAACGAGAGAGCCAAGGATATTTGCCTTTCTGTGTCCAGAAGTGAATTAAAGCTGACACAGAGCACTGCCAGAGGATTTGGTCCAGCCCGGACCCAAAGTCCACCCCGCATATGTGGGTGTCTAATAATATGGTCAGCACAGCATCCGGCGGAGCAGGAGCTAGAGCGTTGGCAGCCACAGGAGTTGGGTCCAGCCGAGATAGCCAGGCAGCCAGGGAAACCCAGGACATTTAACTTCGGTTTCGGTCCAGTCTCACACCCCTGCCTGTTCCCCTTTTCCCGGCTTGGCATTTGCTGTCAGCAGCTTAGAGGAGGAAACAAAAAAAAAAATGGAAAATGGGGAAAAACCGCCGCCACATTGATTGCGACTCGAATCCCCTTTTGGCCAGAGGAGTCTGCGGCAACCGCTTGCTAACCTGGTTTGTTACCTGATTATACGCAGTCCTCTCTATTTGCTCAGTGCAGCGTAAACTCTGCAGATAAGTCAAAGGCAAGTGCAGCCAAGTTAATATTGCATGCGGATAAATTGAAGCTCATATTCTCTCCTTGGCATGGCTTTATGCATTTCTGATTTCTGATTTTGCCGTCTGCATTTGATGGCTCAACTTTTGGTTGTTGTACTCAGCAGTCTCTAAAGTTTAAGGGTTGTGTGTTTCGGGGTAATAATCAAAGAGAGGTGCAAAAATAGAATAATCATTATGTGCATGTCTTTTAGAATAAGCAAACAGTTTGCTTTTCTCTTTCTCCTTATAGTTTTTATAGTAAATATACTCTAGTGGGTATCTGTGGGTCGTTTCCAACTCTCTAACTGCTTGGTTTGGCTCCTCTAAGCATCTCTGAACTTAGTCATATTTGGAGAAACTTGCCAAAGTAAGCAAAAGCAAAGTTTTGAAGGGGGATAAGTGCCAGGCATTGGGAAAAGAAGAACCATTCTTAAACTTAAGCCCAGCGGTCTGGAACTACTTGAAGAAATCTTATACAAAAGATTCTAGCAACTGATGTTTAAAACAATATATTCAACAATAATTTACTATACGCAAGTTTGAGACTCCTGCAAAAGTAATCCCTCGTCACATCATTGGCTTAAATTCAAGGAAAACTTGTATGTTTTTCCGTTGACCTGGAAACCGAATTTTCCTCTCCCAGCTCCACTTTACAAATTCCTCCGGCATAAAAAGAACGAAAAAAGTGAAATGTTTATAGAACATTTGCTCTGACACATCGCTCAAAATGATATAACAAGAAATAAACATAATCGAATAAATAAGCAACGTGGGGAGCAGCCAAACAGCCTGATACAACCAAATCGAATTCCCGCCTCCAGCTACCCCTGTGACTCCAGCTCACAGTTTGGCCATAAAGGATTTACACGGATGTTAACAGGGGCTGGCTAAAATATGTAAAATGCTACAATGGCAGTTTCAGCAGCTGCTGGAGAGGATAAGGTCCCCTGTTTAAATTTGTTGTCATTTTTGTTTCGCCCGATGGGGAATGAGTATGGGACGGGGACTGGGACTGGAACTGGGAATGGGACTGGGGTTATGGCTGTCAGTAATGCTCGAACGCCCCTTGTGAGGACCACTTGACAGGTTTTCCCGGGGGTTGAATGCGAGGCACGAGCATGCGAGGTCCTGGCCCGGCCTGGCCAAGTGAGCATTCGTCACTGGCGCCGCGCCGACATCACTTGCTGATGTGTTTATTATGTGCCCCTAATATATTTATGAGGCGTCTTATAAACGCATTTTCATTTTATTTACATTGCCTGTCTCCTTCGCTCAGCGAACAATCAAAGTACAGCCAACAGAAAACACAACAAAAAAACTGAAGAGCAAAAACAGCAAATAACACCCGTAGGTATTTTTGGTTGCTTTCAAAAAATTTGATTTCAAATTCATGCAGACATCTTGTGGGTCTCATCGCCTTTTTCCCTGCACCATCATCATACGCACTGGGTGCTTACCTCGCGTGTGGCTGTGTGAGATGATGCGCATAATTTTCCTTATGAATTTATATAGGGGAAATTATTTTGGGAAGTCGCGTCTCGAGTGGCTCAATCGCATGAATTACTGCAGTGATGGATGCTTTAGAGCGAATTCCGAATTTGATTAAATACCTTTATGCGGTTTACTTTTGGTTGTCTCCTGTTTAAATTTGTATTTCTTTACATATATCTTGCTTTAACCAGCTTAAATTCTGGACACTTTAACTCTGCTTAACGCTGCCATAACTTTACCCATTTGAGGCGTAATTATGTGCAGATTGCCATAAAGTAGCCTTGGAGTTTTGGTTTAGATGGAGGAGGTAAGCAGTTGGACACTCTCCCACTGTACATTTTTCATTAAATTGGCACAAGGAGAAACAAAAGGAACAATTGTATTATATAGAAAGAGGTATCTTTTTGCTCTTGTATGAGCAGATCAGCCAGACTAACGTTTCAATTCGATTTCATAGTAATAAAAATACAGTCCAATAGAGGCTTCAGTATGTAGACTTTAGTTTCAGCATTTAATATATTTTCTCTCTCTGTAAATGCTGTGGTCAGACCAAGGAGAGCTTGGCATTTACTTAATTGGCGCTTTAAACGGCAAAATGCACTCACACAGTGACAAATGCTCCCCTATATACAATACATATATACAAGTATACACAAGTACATGTTTATATAAAGTTATAGTGGGATCCCCGTAAGCTCTTGTAGATGTATTAGTTGGTCCATGTCGTGACTTGGCAAGGACAAGCAACGGAAATGTGAAAAATGAGGCAACAAAAGCGCGTCGGAAAGGCACACTCGTGCACTCACACACTCGCACTATATTTATAGCCGCTGGCACATAAGAGCAGCTTACGGCTGCATTTGTCCGCCCGCAGCCACGAAGCCTTTTTCCCTGGCTAATGGTCGTGGTCCGAACGACCCTACCACTTGGTCGTCCTCCCTTACCATTACAAGCGAGTCCCGAAAATGGCCGCGTTTTTATTTGCCATTAATAAACTCAACAAGAGCAAGAGGGTTAAATGGTAAATCACCCACTGATACCCTAGGAGTTTCCAGAAATAAAGAAAATAATTTATGAAATAAAAATAATGGAAGTTTCATAGAAATTCAAGTTATAAAGCCAAATATTTATTGTCTTTTTTAGTAAATAAAACTAATGATAATTTTTGGGCAACGACTTAATTAGGTTTAGATGTAAATAAGCTTAATTCAGTGCCTCACCTGCCTGTGGTATTTAACCCTAAGCTCAAAGCCATTTAGTTCGTTATTCACTTTTGAGCACAGGACATCTGGCCAACACACATGCCACATGAAGAGGTAAGGCCAGGAGATGAGCGGTAAAGGAGAGAGAGAGCTCTTTCCTCATGCAGGAAATTGTGGTCTTTCGTCGCACAAATTAGCGGCATTAGTTAGGAGGGGCTTTGAGGCAGGAGTGCCTGCTTTGGCCGTAGGGGCGTGGCACAACGCCACATGGCATTGCGATAATGACCCGGGAATGCGTTTCGTTCACTAGTGCTGGAAACTGCCGCTTTGCTGGCACTTTTCCGGCGTCCGCCGCTGGCATTTTCTCATTTTAATTGATTTAATCGGCTTTGGCTCATGTGTCGCGATCCCCACTCCTTAATGTGCCCGCTTAAATCCTGGACTCCATCACTTGCCGCTCCTGCTCCAGCTTCTGCTGGGCCTCATTAAAAATGCCTCGTGTTTTGCTGCGCGTTGCGTTGCTGTTGCCCCTTTCTTCCCGCCAGAGTCGGTTCCAGCTTCCGACTTGTTTTTGTTTGGCCCATTTCCGCTCTATTGACGTATAAACAATTTTTGCGCATTAATTGAATCGCCCCCGCTCTTGTGTGTGTGTGCGTGCATGCGTGCTGGTGTGTGAGCGTGTGTGACATGCATAAGCCAAATTAATTGGAGCTTCATTTCGCACACCCGAGCTCGTCGTCGTCCTTTCGCTGGCTGGGATTTCTTGCCTTTTATTTCCTTGTTTTTGTTTACTTGCAACAAAGCCAACGAGCGTCCTAATGAAGGTTTAATTAGCAAACACACAATCACACACACACATTCGCAGGGGCACACACCCACACACGCTCTCGGAAAAAGTAGAAATGGCAGAGAACTGGATGGATTCTCGGGATACCATTTCAATTATTTTATGTGTTGTGCGCCGCTGCCTAATTCCAATTTTAATTAGTTTATTTGGTATATTTTGCGAGTGATTGATTGATTAAATTAGCTGAAATACAATTAAACAAATGCTTTAGTTGGACACCACCAACAGCGAGAGTGCTGCGAGGAGAGTCAATAAAAGCTGGCAGAACAAATCTCATTTGGGTAAAGAGCTTTCTGAAATATTTTTGGGTATAAAAAACGTAAATTTCAATGGGATAACTGTGTAACTCACGACTTTACAAACACAAAAAACCTAGGTATCCGCATACAGTAATAGTTTTGAGACAAAACCAAAGCCAGCTAAAATTTTTAAGCCCTTTTTGTGTCCATGAGACAAACACCACACCTGACACGCGACAGGATCTCTGGGGCTGTGGGGAAATGGAGGAAACACAGAATATATATGACAGGCATGACGGGCGGGTGTGGGTGCAAGAGCAGCTGGGACAGATGCGGTTAATAATTGGCCAGATGGAGAGCTTTCGGACTTGTCACTCCGCTGGACGAGGCTCCTCCGCCTCGGGAAAAATCCCCTATTAGGAGTCAACGTTCCATTTTTTCCCCAACACCAATTCGCCGGCTTTATAAATGAATTCCAACTACAAACACACAAATTTATTAGCATTTTCACCCCACCTGCAACAAGCGAGCCGTGTTCTCATTTCGCAATTTTCCATTTTTTCCGCTCTTTTCAGGACCTACAATCGGAAATTGAAACCCATCGCGTGGTTTACGATCGTCTCGATGGCACAGGCCGCAAACTTTTGGGTTCGCTCACCTCGCAAGAGGATGCGGTTATGCTGCAGCGTCGCCTCGATGAAATGAATCAACGTTGGAATAATTTAAAATCGAAAAGTATTGCAATCAGGTAAGTGCTTTCGGCTTCTTGTTTCCTATAGCTTTTTTTTCCACCCTCCTGGTTACTGCTGGAATTGTTTGCCTTTGCCCAGAGGAGAGATTCGGGCAGGGCGGCTGAGGGTAGAAGCGTTCTGTTCTGGTTTTTGTTGTCGGTCTGCCATGTTTGTCGAGGAGGGTGGAGACCCTGTGGCCGGAGGATGCTTGAAATCTGCTGAATAGAATTAAAGTAGCTCCATGCATTTTCCTTTTTTTTTCGGCCCCAGTGCTTAAACGGGCATGAGATGTCGAGGGGACTGTGTAAACTGCCCGGGGACCCGGGGGAGTTGTTAGACCGCCAACAGGGCGTATGATGAATGATGCCGAATCTAAGGCAAACTGCAGTAAAACCTCTCAGACAAGACTTATCCTCCCTTAAACTACTTAAAGTGTTAATTAAACGACGTTAAGCCCTGCACGAAAAAAAGAGCAATACAGAGACAATGTTAAACAAGCTGAAAACAAGTGATCCCCCCTTGGCCCTTTGTGCAGCGGGTTAAGCAACTTTGTCCTGATGAAAATGGGAAAAACAACGGCAGGAAAAGTGCGCTGTCGAGCTGCGAGGAGATGAAGAGCGGCGCCGTGACACTTTACGGCTGACAAAGCCGCGCGCCGAACGAAAATCAATATTAAAAACGAAGCGAAACGCGTGAAAAGTGATGGAAAATGCGAGTGAAGAGCCGAGAGAAAGAGCTCCATGGTCCACGGACACTGTGTCATTGATGAAATCGACTGCAAACACTGGCCCAGTACCAGGACCATCGTCCTCCCTCCGCCTTTTTTCTCGTGTTTCTCTTTTTGTGCTTGTAATTTCCCCATTTCATAAATAAAAGCTTGGTCCGAGCACACAAATATTGGGCGCTTGTTGATATTGATGCCGCCGATGATGAAAGTCGGGCCGCTGCGTGTTTACAAGCGGAGGAAGATGGAGGTGGGGGAATGCCCAAACTGGGCCAAAATGAATAATGATGATGGTGGCGACACGCAGCAATGCGTTGAATGAGGAGCCGGCGAGATCGCATAATGAATATAAATGGCAATTACCCAATGACCGTGGCCACACGGCGTATACGTGATGCGGCGCCCAAAAAAGCAGGCAACGGTAATTCGAGGATAATTCCTGCCTCGTTGCAGTCGTATGTATTGTTTGTTTGTCAATGCGTCAAAATAAATAAATGGGCTCTACGGTCAATCGAAGCTTTTATAAACAGGACACTCCGAAATGTCAAAAAATTAGGTTATATTTATTTTTTTGAATATATGATGATATGAAGAAATATTTTAAAAGCATGTGTATTAATTAAGAAAAGCACAGAAAAAATTATAATTCGTCTTTTGCGAGTTAAAGTCAATGGGCCTTCCGGAGAAATAAGAATCCGGCTCGAAGGACCAATGTTTTCAAGGGGTTGAAACTTATTGTAGCAATAAATAACAACGTATAACTTTTCTGAACTTACCATCGTGTCTTTTATCTTTTACTAAGGCTTTGTTATGGTTTATGTCCAAATATCGCTCTAATCCTTCACTTCTGATTAGCTTACCTTTCATTTCACTCAAGTGCTTTTCAATTAGTCGTAGCAGGCTGCCTGACAATTGACACCTCAGATGTGGTAACTTTGCCCTACTCCGACCCTATCTTGGCTGTTAGGCTCAATTGTTCCAACGTTCTGGCGACCCATTTCCGTTGGCCAAACTTGAGGCGCTTCCTTTGTTGTTTGTTGGCTTGGGCCACCGCCATCCTCGCCGCTGTCTGGACTTGCTATTTGCGCTGCGCTGACTTGCTGTTGGCTTATAAATTCCTATGAAATATTTCGGCCAGCACTTGAAAAGTTTCACCGTAGCCGTCATTTGGCCATCGCAGTTCCACTCCTTGGCTCCTTCTCCTTCTATTTGCTTTTGGCCATTGTTCGCCGTTCGCTTGTATTAGCCGCGGCACTTTTTGGCTTTGGGTCATTTTGTGTGCAAAGTTTTCCCGGCTCTTTGAACTGTGCAAACTTTTTGCGTGTGGCATCTCTACAGGTGTGCCGGATCCGCATTCGGTTTTTTCCATCCTCAATCCTCCGTCAATTGCCGTTTGGGATGTTTGTGTCTGTCTGTGGGGGAAGATTGATGAACCCGTATCCTTTCCACGGATTCCTTTTCGCTTTAAGTCCGTTTTTGGAGGGTTGAAAAAAATGATTAAGTCGGGGTTTTTCGTGCGACCAGCACAACAATGATATAGAAATGATGGATATGAAAACGGTACACGATCAATCATTTGGAGAATGAAAAGCACTTTGATTGAACTTAAATGGGTTGGAATCAGATAATGTAATTTCTATTAAAATAATGTTAATTTTTGAAACCGTAATAAATTACTAGACTTGATCTAAATCTGCTTAAGATATCCTCTTTAAAGCGGAAGCTAAACAATTAAAATAGTACTTAAATAATTGAAATTTTGGAGGTATCTTTATATATTAATAATGGCATTATGAGCTGAAAATTATGATTCTTTTAACTTGGCTTTAACAACAAGCATTAATAATTTCCCATGCCCCTTTACAAACCTCTATACGTATACATTTCTCAATCAATTTGGCTGTCCCCCGTCAATAAGTGTCAGAAGCTTAGTCAGAAACAGAAATGAAATTTGGAGTGAGAAGACAACAAAGAGGCTGAAATTTGAGGAAAAATCTCCTTGTTCTGGCCGTCTCAAGTTATTTCCTTTCATTATTTGCATGAGGAAAAGCGAAAGTGTGGAGCAAGCGGTAGAGTTTTCCCGACAAAAAGGACCACGATGATGATGATGAGAGGTGCTAGAGCCAAGCCTTAATTATAAGCAAAACCAGAGCAGCAATAATAAAGGAATGAAATGAGCACGGCCAAAGGAATTCGCCAAAGATAAACAGACAAAAGGACGAGGCCGGAAACAGCAGGCCGAGTAGAAGAAAATCACGAGAAAACGAGGAAAATAGGGGAAAAATGAGATGACAATGAGGCTGTGACTATTGTTATTACCGGGTCGCGGAGCTGAAGATTTTTCAGATTTTTCTCTGTGTTATTTTTGCCGCTCTCCCCTCTCCAGGAGCACAATGCAGCCAGCACCCAAATATGCCAGGACAAGGCGGTGTCCTCGATGTCCTCCTTTCTGCCCCGGCCAAATAAAATGTGAATAAAATGTCATGGCATTTCACAATTACAGCGACAGCTGAATTTTAGCATAGACCAGGCCAGACCAGTCCCATTCCTGTCTCTGTCGCTCTGCCCTCGGCCAAATGCCAAAACAGGACACTTTAATAGACCTCACTTAAGGAGGAAATTTGTGTTGGAGGCAGGAGGATCCCATCCTGAGAAGGAGGGCGGCAAGTGCCGGAAGGCGGTGCGGAAACACAAGGAAATAGACAAATTGTCGCTGACATTTTGTGGGTGCAATCAGCACAGATGCTTCCCCGCCTGCTCTAAAGTGCAAATTAAATTTAATATTATTACAGCACTTTTTCTTGTGCACTGCGGAAAAAGGAAAGGGGCTTATCCTTATGGCAAAATTTAAATTTATTTCAACAATTCAAGGAAATGTAATGTTTGCTCTTTGTGAACTCCCAAGTAAAATTAAAATCAATGAGGACATTGTATTAAAATTAAAACATTTCATATTAAACGCAGTCTTGTCTGATTCCCTAATGTATGTTTTAATTTTGTTTTTGTTACAGGAATCGCCTAGAGTCCAATTCGGAGCACTGGAACGCCTTGCTGCTGTCGCTCCGCGAACTGACCGAATGGGTTATCCGTAAGGACACTGAACTGAGCACCTTGGGCCTGGGTCCTGTGCGAGGAGATGCTGCCAGTTTGCAAAAGCAGTTGGTAAGTTTTCTTTCACTCTTTATTATTTTTTGGGTCACCCAACCTTTTTCCATTTTCCACTTTTTGTCAACGACCCAATTTTAACCTTATTTTTGCGTTGAGGCTCCCCGGGGGCTGCACCTCAATTTGTTTGGCCGCCCTGCCAACTAATTGTGTGGAAGTTCTGGTTTTGCGTGGTCTCTTGACTCGTTTTGCAGGACTTGGGGGCTTAATGATGCCAAAGTGGCTTGGATAGCTGCCACTTTTGGTTGCATAATTTAAGCAAGTAAATCCTTGTACATAATTAAATAATAAACCGAAAGTGTAAGCGATGCTAATGTGCATTCCAATCAATTTGCAATTGCCTACTGATCCGTTAATGGCAGTTTGGACTTGGAAACCAGGCAATTATTTGGCAATTTTCCCAATTAAATTTGCAATCTAATGAAGCGCACTATTTACATGTGGCTTCAATTATCAAAAGCTCTATATTCTTTTTAATTTATTTATTTTGTAATGATGTAACTTTGAATTTAAACTTTCAAGCTTATTAAGGAAACCAAAACATTGCCTAAAATTCTTCCACCTTGCTTTCCTTCACCTCCAAAGACCATAAATTTCAATTGGCTTGGGTTACTGAACCCTCACATAAATGTATTTAATGGCCTGCAATACAAACCTGAGTTTAGTTGGAACTTTCGCCCAAGTAGCCATAAGACCTCCTCTATCGAACTGATCCATCTTGACCAAATTGCGGACTCGACCACGCCCACAGCTGGGTTTGGTTGGAACTCTTAAATAATTGTTAAATGATGCTTGTTATGTCAAAAACACGAACCACACACCGCCCTCACATGGGGGAGAATCACTTAGGGACCTGCCCAGCACGGAAGGGAACGAGTGGAAGCCGGTGAAACCCAAGGAAAAAAGTGGAGAGCCGAAGCCAGGCAGGCCACTTTCGGAATGGGGAAACACTGTCTAACACAGCATGAGCCACTTGAATTTCACTTGCCCCCACTTAGAGCGCCGGGACCAGGAAAAGAAAGCGGAGAAGCAGCTGGAAAAAAATGAGTCAACTTTCACCCCGCAGAGAAGGAGGCCGGGGTTGGGGCTGGCGAAAAGGGGATCAGCAGGGGGCACACTGTATAAATCTATTGCCTGCCACTAAGTTACGGTCTGCCGAACATTTACATTTCGGCTTGAAGATTTTATTTGCCGGCGGACGAAGGATTCAGAGGGCCACAGCAGACCCTGGACCAGAGTTTTATATTGTTGCATTTTGTTATTCCCCAACTAAATGCATTAAACACGAGAATTTATTGCCTCGAGCTGCAGAGGATGCCATTCCTCTGATAGTTTATGGGCCCTGACCACTTGAACTATATTTTTGATGGTCCTGGCAAATATCATCGCCCCGAAAATATCCGGCATTTCGTTCGCCGTATATATATATTTATTTTAGTGAAGCTCCAGCCATTCGTTCATTCATGTATTGCATTCATTGCCCTTCCACTTGCAGGACGATCATAAAGCCTTTCGCCGCCAATTGGAGGATAAGCGGCCAATTGTCGAGAGCAATTTAACGAGCGGTCGTCAGTACATCGCCAACGAAGCCGCCGTCTCGGATACTAGCGATACGGAGGGTAAGTTTTATTTTTATGACCACCGCCGCCACCGCAACGCTGCCACACACTAAAAAGTCGCCCCACTAAACTGCCCATTAAGTGGACCACAAAAAGGTCCGCCACCAAGTGCCCGTCAAGTGTCCGTTGGCCAAAACTGAAATTGGATTTTTTTTGGGGGGTCGGCGTTGGGTAGAAAATCATGATCTATAAACTGCTCAAGCAATGATGGACAATCCCTACGTAATGGGATAGTTATGGGGTTAGTTGGCAGATTCTTTTATTTATTTATTTTTTTACAGATTTTTCAAGTTTTTAATTACATTGTAAACTTAAATGTACTAGGTTGCTAAAGATATTAAGATGTTCCTAAACCGTTTAAAACATAAATCTTTGAAATAAATACAGAATTTAATTCAGCCTTATTTCCTGTTAAAATTATGCATTATAATCCAATCCAATAAATCCAAAGTCAGTTACAGGTCTACATTTTTTTCAGCTCAATCTAAATGTATTTCCTTCCGATAATCTTCTTTTAATTAAAGAAAATTCTTTCGCTAAAATTATCCCTTTGCGAAACGCACACAATTTGCATAAGAACTATTCTGAATGGCATACCCAAGCAATCTATTTAATATTAAATGATTCTCAATAGATTTCACCGGAGCCTTTTCCATTTCAATCCCGCCTCCAATTCCCACCCCGCACACTCCCTTGAGCATTTCACAATTGATTGAACTTTCTGTCGAATATCTCTGACGAATCAACGAAAACTAACATGTAAGAATTTGCTTTAACTATTTTACAAAAGCTTAGCAAGCTCAAAAACCGCACACGCACACACACAGAGCCAAGGATAGTACTTTGCAAAGTTTTGGTACGTGAGCGCCTAAAAGTAGACAACTGTTGTTGGGCAACCAGAGAATTGCCAATTGATTTTGCACCGCCACACACACCACCCCTCGTAGCCTCAGATCTGGCTTTAGTTCTCGTCGTAGTTCCTTTTTTTTTAGACTGTAGTTAACAATTTAGCAAATGGCTATGTGGCTGCAGCTCGGTTAGTGACTGGCTGGGGATTTGTTTTCGATTTTTTTGTGGCCTCATCCAGGCTGTGGGTGGTACTGGGAGCTGTCGACGATAATTGCGACCAGAGCAATTAGTACGATTAGTGCGCTATTAGTGGCAGCCATCAGCTGCGGGAGAGAGCTTTGGTCCGACCCGGTTTTGGCCTTTGATTTTGGCCATTCTGCTGTTTATTTTGTGGTCCACCAATCACTCTGGCTGCCAAATGAATTTTAATGATTATTGAAATTCAAAAAATAGGAGGCTTATCTCTTAAAGCCTAAACAAGGGAGAAGTTTATGTGGACAGACTTGAATTATGTATATCGAGGAACCATCAAGTTTTGCATTTGAGTATCATGATTTTCTATACACGCAAATGTAATATAGAAATGTCCTTGTAGTGAGAACATATTTCAATATCCCTTCCTTTTTTAATATTTCCCTGTGCATTCAAAATTGAAAACGAAAAGTTTCGCCCAGCGCGCCGCCGAGTCAGTGAGGCGGGCAAAAAGCAGAAAACATGCAAAGCGATAAACTCAATCTTTAAATTGAATTTGAATATTACGACAAAACTTGGCCGGAGCTGGAGGAAAAGTATTCAACTCTCGATATTTGCTCAGCATCACATTACCAGCTGTCCAACCCCTCCTTTGGCCATAAAAGTTGCTCGCTGTCTCCGTCCGTGCATTAAATTAAATTCGGATTTAGCCAACTTTGAGTTTGAGTTGAGACGAGTTGGCCCTGTTGCCGTTCTTTTTTGTGTCACTGTGTTGGCTTACAGCAGCAGCAGCTGCCACTCGTCTGTCAGTCAGTTGGTCCTCCGTCCGTTGGTGAGTGAGTCTCCGTCTCCTATTGCATTTCCCTTCGCCGCAAGAGCGCGTCAGTTTGTCTTTCAAATTTCCTGACACTTTTCCTTTTCGATTTTCCCCTCTGCCCTTCCTAGGGCCTTTCATCTGCCATCATTGTTACTGCCTCCGAAGCGATAGGAGCATCTAGGACCGAGCTGAGCTGGTGCTCTTGAGGTCTCATCGAAGCTAATCGATGGCTTAAAGACATTGATATTTATTGAATTTACCTCGGGACTCGGGCGAGTTAAAGCCTTGCTAATTGATTACCCCGGTGGCCAAATTAGAGTTTCCCTTTGTTTTCACTCAACTTTGGGCTTGAGCTTGGACTTCTCCCCAGAGCTTACCTGTCCGTGGGATTATTTTATTGCAAATTTAATCACAGCCTGCAATCAGCATAATCAAGGCTGCCAGAGGAGAACCGTCGACCTGAGAGGGCATTAGGAGCCATAATATCATCTCTAATTCATAAACTCGTGCACGTGAGGTGGTGGCGGCGGCAGCCCCTCCCCAATTTAATGGCAGAGCAATTGTCTTTTCGGGAACTTTGTCTTTGGCTCGACTTGACTCGAGTTGATTTTCATAAATTTGCGAGCGCTTTCTTATCATAATAATCTCTGGTTCTTTTAGCCAACCATGACTCCGAGTCGCGTTACATGTCCGCCGAGGAGCAGAGCCGGGAGCTAACACGCAGCATCCGGCGGGAGGTGGGAAAACTTTCCGAGCAGTGGAACAATCTAATCGATAGATCTGACAATTGGAAGCATCGCCTGGATGAGTACATGACGGTAAGTCAGATTCGAGATTCTCAACTTTTCCTCCTCATTTTCCTTTTCCTTTTTCTTCCGCGTGACATTTTCATTCATAATTTGAGTGGGGCTTATGGAAATGTTCCGAGGGCGAGCAATTTGCTTTTACAACTGCTCGTTAAATCGAATTTTTTGGAGAGGAGCGAATCGAAGCGAGTTTGCCTCTGGAAAAGTTCAGCATGAAAATGCCAAAACTACTTGGCTGAATTCGGATTCCTGAATATTTTTCGCATTCCCCACACATTTCCCTTCGCCCGACCAAATGTGAAAAATACTTTATTCAATTACATTTTCTCTGGCCACAACGTGGAGAAAAACAAAGCAAAGTTTCGACCGTCCAGGATACATTTTGTCCTTTTTCGAGTCTTATTTTTTGTTTCTCTGTTGGAGGTGGGAGTGCTAATAAATGCAAGTGTGTTTTTTATGACGCCTGTCGTTCGGGCTTCAGTCTGTCACAAGGCAACAACATAATATATTCCACCACAAATGTTTCGAAAGGGGGTTATTTCGGATGTCTGCTGATTCTGCTCCTGCTGCTACTGCCTCGTCGTCGTTACTCATACGCACCGTAAATTCGATGCAACAATGTTTGATAGCATAAAAATGTCACACAGACTGTGCAAACAATGGGTACAACATGGGACCAGTCCGGGCAAAGCAAAAACAACTCGTTGAGTGGGCCGCACAAAATGTATAAAATATCAAAGCGCATAAAGTGCACATATTGTATGCGAAACTCGTCTGTGTTTTGTGTGTTTGTTTGCGGGTGTATGGGTAGGTGTGTCTGTGTGTTGTGCCTGTGTTTTGGAGTGCTTGTGTGGCATTCTCTTCGCGGCCATTGGACCGAAAATCAATGCGACCGAGTGAGCGAATGTACAGCGGGAAACCCGTATCGAGGAAAACAATGACACACCAAAGCGGCCATAGTCGTAAAGAATCTGGAAAACATCAGCTCAAAAAGGCAAGAAAAACATCATAAAAGGAGATTACCAAAATATGGGATTAGAAAATATTTGTAGGGGATCTAGTTTCGACTTTTGCAACATTTTTGTTGGATATTTTATATATACAAGTATCATTTACTATGTGCAGCCATTGGAAATATTTAATATAACGAGAAGAGATTTAAGAAACCCTTCAAGGTACAAGGTATATCAATCTATCAAAACCTACATCAACCTAATTCAATATCAATGGGAATAACTACAGTTGAAACTTGAATTTAGGCAAATAGAAATTGATACAAAAACATACATAAATCATAAACAACATTATTTATAAACAATAAGCCTTATTGTTTTCTTCGGTTTGTACTTTTTACTGACAAATTTCTCATAAGGGAGCGATTTAGCAATTTTCTGGGTCAAATTTAGCATTTTCAAAAAACAAAATGTTGACCCCGTCGAACTGCAAATATTTATGTATAAATTTGATAGTGTCGAGGGTTTAGTTGGGGTAAATCGCTTAAATACGAAAATAAATATAGTAAAAGCTTTCCTCTTTCACTCTACCAATTTTCCGGCCAAACGCCGCTTTTCCAAGGGATCCTTAACAAATTCGTTTGGCATCGCAATCAATTCAATTTGCAGCGCAAATCGCTTTGAAAATAATCTCTCAATGGCACTCGACGCCCCGAAAAAATGCAGACTCCTCGAAAGTGCTCAACATTTTGCGCATTTAATATTTTTTTCGGGCCCGCACAAAAATTACCTTAAAAGCGGCGTAAATAAACTAGACCACCTTCATGCAAAAGTTTGGAAAACTATTTTTGCGATACTTTTCCCCCCTTTATACATAAATGCATTTTTATGCGAACGGAAAAACTGATAGAGGAAACTTGAACAAAATTAACAATGTGAAAAAAATCTATGGGGGCGAAGGCATTAAAAAGGTAAAATAAAGTAAAAAATAAAATAGGAATAAGAGAAAAAAGTTTGCCGTACAAGTTGGAGCGCTGGGAATATTAAAAAAAAGAAAGTTAAATTAAATGCAAGTTAAAACAATTACAGGACAGGCGATGGGATGGGTGTGAAAACTTTGCAATGGTTTTATGAAAGTCGGTTCGGGCCACGTTAAATGAAGTCGCCGAATAGCTGAGGCAAAGTTTAGCCGCCCTAGTAACCAAATCCAACCCGATCCGCCTCCTTCTAAGCCGCAGCCCAGTGGCCACGTGGTTAATTGACCACTCCAAGAAATTTTCTATTAATTGAATAAAAAGTTTCTCCGGGGAAAATTTCATTTGCATAGCGCAGGAGAAAGGGAAACTGGCGTTTTTCTGCCTGTCACTGCACTTTTCCTCGAGTATACGCCCGTACGTGTCCAGTAAAAGTTGAGGAAACCGCTGACAGCAGGCCAACATTACACATGGTACATATACTACATGCCATTACTGCAGATGAAAAAATATATTCAATTATGGCTTCGTAGATAACTTTACTTAATTATCAGTAATTTTTAAACTTTTTAATGGCAATTCTCATAGGTATCTTTTTTATTTATTGGCATGCTTAATGCAATTTCTGTCTGATGTATTTATTAGTTTAAAGATGCTTTTTCTTCCAAAGAAAAGAAGATAAAAAATCGTTATTTTTTTCGTGAGAATAATCTGAATTTTTTGCAATTTTTAAAGTGCATGGCATCTCACCTGCTGCCACCTGAAGTCAACTTCAAGTCGTGAAATATCCTGCCTCCAGCTAGGATTTGCAATCCGGCCTGCGGCCTTAATGAAGCCTGATTGGTACTTGCCTAGCCAGAACCCAATGCAGTGAGCTCCCTGCAAGGGTCATCCATCAAAGGGGGGTCAAGGGTCATCATCAGCCCCTTTCGGAATGATGCATGGCCACCCATCAACATTCCTTGGTATTGGGCCGCAAACTCAATCAAATTTGGAATGTCGGCTGCCATGCTAATGAAAAGGGTTGGTCAGAGTCGGAGTCAGAGCATTAGGAGGGAGACAATGCCCCAGAACTACTTCTGGCTCATTTGGCAAATAATGCTGGACTCTGAATTTTATTGAGTTAGCTCGAGGAGAGCCGGGGAAGTGGCTCCCAGAATCCCATGGGGGACACGCTCCAGAGAATCCAATCCAATCGTATCGCATCGAATCGGACCCGACCACTTAAAATGCGGATTGCGGGGTACAAATTGTGGGGAATTGGCAGTCCGCAGTCCGCAGTGGCATGCTAAATGAACGCTAAAAAGCAATTGCTTAACGCTTTGAAATATGTTTCATTGATTTCCCGGAAAACTGCTGGAAAAATAGCACGAAAATGGTGAAGGGCGGTCAGCTCTGGCCATAATTTAACCACATGTGGTCGATATTGAAGCAGGACACTACTGGCTACACAGCGGCAACTCATTTAACCCCTTATGACCACTCGAACACAGCTGCTGCTCCTTGGGCACCCAGAGCTCCCATGGCTGCCATGGCTCCCAGGACTGTCCTCTGGCTCCTTAAAAGCTGAAAAATGTCCCATGTAAAAGTTGAAAGTTTTCGTTGCAGTTTGTTTGGTTTATTATGCAGGCCAGGACACACAATGAAATCAATTTAGTTGCTCTGCTCGCCCTCTCGCTTCGACACAAAACAGTTTAATAAATCACTCATACGCAGCGTGTGCTGCTGCCTGTGATTTATGTGCACACTTTACGAAGTTGCCCGGTTGACACGGAGAAGAAATATTATCTATGGAAATTTTGATTTAGCAACCGAGATTACTCTGGTAGTAACTAACTAACAAACACCAGTAAAACTATTAAGGAAATTCCGTACACACACTTGTGCTGTTGTAAGCCAAGAACCAAACCTGGCAAAAACATAGCTGCCTAGAAGTATGCCACAAAACGGTTTACTTGTCTCTTAGATAATTTTAAATAAAGAGAGAAAAGAAAACATCCCTATTCATCATAATATAAAATTTAAAAAAAAATAAAGTAAATACAATAAATGTTTATTAATAAATTCTTTAAATATATAAATGCTTTTTAAACTTATTTTATGTGAAAATATTGGCTTCACACTTTTCAATCAACTCAATAAATCGTTTAACTTTATATACAATATAAGGGGGATTATTTAATTTAAATTTATGTTTGCAAGGCTTCAGCCAACAAAGGATTTTTATATTGATATTTCTGGCCGTAATATAAGGCCATTTTATACCATTAAATCCTTTAAAAGCTAACATAAATGGAGCAAAAATAAAAAAGGTTGTGATGTGGAAAGAGTACGGCCCTTCAAATATATATCATCTCGCTCGTCAACCGCTTGGGAAATCAATTGATTGTGGCGCTAAAATGCTTTGGCTATGCAATGTCTCGCTCGCAAGTTATTGTTAATAGTCTGTCTGTCAGTCTGTGTGCCTGGCTGTCTGTCGCTGTGTGTGCAAGGATCCTTTTCTACCCACAATCAATGTTTCAACCGCATATTGCAGCACTCCCCGTCTGACTTTCTGCGGCATCCTCCATTTATTTGTTCCCATTTAGTCTTTTTTCAGCTTTTGTTATTTGCCCCAACTGCACAAATATGCCACGAAATGTAACCAATGTATAATTGTCAAACGTGTTGTGCTTTATATTGCCACACACACACACACACACCCAGCTGCAGAACGTGGCTCGCCATGTGGCCAATTCATTTGGCCTGTCAATATTCCAGCTCCCTTTTTCCATTGGCTAACGGCGCCATTTTGTGCGGTAGTCAACTTTTTCCATTTCCAATTTCGCCCTCTTGACCCTTCTAGCAGCGAGGATTTTCATTTCATAAATATTTGCCGTTCTCCCTGTGTATGTTTTCTCTTGCTTGCGGGGCGAGAGCAGTGGGTAAAAACAAACATTTGGTAAATATTTGCCCGGGGCCACAATATGGCATGAAATAGTTCTCTAATTGGCTTTGCTTTCCAATTAATTGAAAGGGGAAAGGATCGAAGCTGGAACAACTGGCATATTAAGTATCATATTTACAATCGCCATAAAAATATTTT